TCTGCATCTGCCGTCACATCTGTGACTTACAGATTAAAATGCATTGGAATGCATTGACAAAAAACCTATTTTCCAGCAATCTACGGGCTAAGAATACTATCAGGCAGCATCTGAGGCCCATAGCTGAGGCTTGTCTACTTGGCTGTACCCGTCTCTCTGATGTTTCTGCCAATGTTTTGATTCATGCCTCTCTTTGTTCTGTTCCTATAAAAACTTCACTGAACTACTTCCAAGTTGGAACATGGAATTTGGGGGTAACCAAATGTGTGTTCCTTGGCTGTGGTCACTCGTACTTGGCTCCAGAATAAACTGTCTCATCACTTTTGGGGTAAGAGTCTGTGGTTTTGTGTCAATGCTATGGAAGTCACTTAGAGTTGACCCAGCCAGTATTATTCATGGTGAAACCTGCACAAATGCGACATCACCTAGCTACATGGCTTTGAGTGGCCCCAAAGAGCCTCTGGGCTTTCACAGGGCTAATCAAAGCAAACAATACTTGTAGAGTCCTTACTCTATCCCGAGACTGGTGAGGGACCACAGCATCCTTCAGTCAAGTTATGACGCAGCCAAGGAGTCATGTTCTGGATGGGAGGGCAAGCCAGGAAGGACACAGGACGGTCACACAGAGTCACACAGGACGGTCACACAGAGTCACACAGAGTCTCACAAAGCCCAGCTCTACACCTGCCCACAGTGCAGCCTTCAGCGGTGGCTTCTCGACACAGGGCCAGAGTGTCCTCATCAGAAAAGGAGGGCTAACACACAAATACCCCATGATAAACACATTGAATAACCACAGTGTTGGGCCCGTGTTCCACCTCCAGAAATAGACTGTGAAGATTACCGAAGATTCCTGTTGTCTCTCCAACTGTGCCTTCCTCGGCTTCAGTCAGTTTTCCTATCTTTCCCAGTACTTAATCCTCAAGAGAAAGCTTGTCTCAGGATTTCCACAGCTGTGATGAAACGCCATAACCAAAAAGCCGGTTAGGGAGGAAGGGTTTATGTGGCTCACACTTCCCCATCATAGTCCACCATTGACGGAAGTCAGGACAGGAGCTCAAGCAGGGCAGGAACCTGGAGGCAGGGGCTGATGCAGAGGCCATGGAGGGTGCTGCTTGCTGGCTTGCTCCCCATGGCTTGCTCAGTCTGCTTTTTTAAAGAACCCAGTGTAACAGGCTTTTTCTTTGGTGCCACAAACCAGCTCCCAAATCGTGACAGAGACGTACTACTCGTTGTGACGCTCTACCTTAGCTTGCTAGCTCTTATAACACAACCTGTTTCTCATCATCTGTGTTTTACCTAGGTGGCTTTTATACCTTTTTTCTTTCTGGATATCTTACTTTCCTGTTGTCTCTGCTGTCTTGTGGCTACCTGACTTCTAGACCCAGGTGTGTCCTTCTCTCCCTGGTCCTGTCCTTCGGTCTCTGTCTCTCTGTCTCTCTCTCTCTCTGTCTCTCTCTCTCACACACACACTCACACACTACATTTTTAAAAGAAATTATAATTTCCCAGGTGTCTCATGCTAGGGAAGGGAAAGGCTGGACCTGGTGACGGGGGTTGGGGAGGCTCATCTCTATGCTGCCTCTTCAAGGAGATTTCACACTTTCTGACAAACTTGTTATCCTGCATTGCAAGGAAGACTGGAGACAAGATAAATGGATCCACGAAGGGCAGGAGACAGTTGAGCGTGCCCCTTACCTTCCGTTTAACCCTAATTCCACGCCAGGCCTCAGAAGACGCACCGTCCCTCTTCTCCAATGGGGGCCACGCTGAATGCACCCCTTCCCCTGCTTTTGAGTATTTGTCAGATGACATCCGTGAACCTAGCTTCTTAGGGCCACCAGATTCAAATCTTTTGTAACTGTCCTGGCAGGAATGAAGGCATTCTAAGGAGGCTCTCATGCCCCTCACTTTGGCTATCAGAGTTGAGACAAAAGTCCCCCCAGGATTTGCCATTTCCCCAGGAGTAACTGCACGCTGGAGAAGAAAGGCCACTGCGGCCTGTGCTGGTTTTCTAGGCCGTTTCACAGGGCTATGACAGCCTGCCCGACCAGCCTGCAGGAGACAGGAGCAGAGGCGAAGATGGTCGGTGATGGGCAGAAACGCACTTTGACCAGAACCGCTTAGCTACTTAAGCACGTCTCTTACCCTCTGTTTAAACCTAAATCTCAAGTCGACACTCTCAATGGCAGACTTTGTTTGGCGAGGTCACCAAACCAGTTTATTTGTCCCTCTTCCCATTGCAGCCGATGACTACATCTACCTCTCTCCGCTCTCTGCCCTCCATTATTACACGACTGTGTCATTGGCCTGTTCCAAGTGGCCAAGCCCCGCTTCTCAGGGCTGCGGGGGCCCAGGATGCAACCTCGAGATAGGGCAACAGACACACTTTTCCCTGGCCCTTTTAAGGCTCCACCCAGCATCAGCGCTAAGCTGCAGCCTGCCTCCTCCCCTCCTTGTAAGAACTCTTCAGTTCAGTCTTTTGTGGTTTGTGCTCTCCCAGCAGCCAGGATGCCTCCAGCCACTCTCCACCCCTAAGCCCTTGGGTTAAAGAACAAGAGGCCCCTGTAACCTGGTCCCTGGACGGTCTGAGTGGCTGTCCCAGTCTGATCTCAAAAGTGTAACATTATTTCACCCGGGCCAGTCTTCTCTGTCTCAGAATCACCCCAGGCTTGTGTTTCAGTTCAATTATGTGGTTAAAACAAATTGCCTGGGGCAGGTAACTTCTAAAGAACAGTTTGCCTTCTTGGGGAGCTCCAGAGCACACAGCCAGCATCTAGACAGGCCTTCTGGCTGCGTCATCCCAAAGAAGGTAGGAGGGCAATCAAGAGGGAGCAGACCCACTCTCCAGTAAATTGCTATGGTAACACTGGTCCATCTCTGGGGCGGAACCCCCACGCTCCAATCTCCTTGATTTGGGTTTTGTTTTTTACACTGTTTTTAATGATGTGTGTTTCTCTGTGTGAGTACAAGTGCCCTGGGTGTCAGATCCTGGAACTGGAGTGACGGGTGAGTATGAACCACCCAGCATGATGCTTGGTCCTCTGCAAGAGTAGTACTGGCCCTCGGCTCTTAACCGCTGAGCTCGCTCCAAACCCTAGCGTGGGCTTTTCAGACAGCCTCACTACACAGCCCAGGCTCGTTTGGATCTCACTGCTACCTATTTCCTGACTGAATTTCCTCAGCCTCTAACAGCACATTAACCAAATGCCTGAAAAAGAAAAACCCTTGTGAGTCATTTGCTAGATTCTTTTTGCAGCAATTTAAGCTTGACTTAGAAGCCAGGCCTGGTGGTGTACATCATTAATCCAAGCATTTGGGAGACAGAGGCATGTTTCTCTATAGTGGCTTCTTTTATATTATATATTTACTATATTATATAACTCAGGGACAAAAAATAAAGACAAGAGCCCGAGACAGACACACCAACCTCAACATACTGTCTCCATCTGCTCCGGGCTGGAAAGGGGCCTGAGCCTCTCTGCCTCCCCTGGGGTGGGCTGAGTATTCATACTCCAGTCCTGGAAAACTCTATGCTCCACCCCAACCAGCTAAATGCAAAGCCCACCTTTTGAACCAATACCTGACTCTAATTGGACAACGGGCCACAGCATAGACAAGATTCCCATAACAGATCTCCATGAGTCCAAGGCCAGCCTCATCTACATAGCAAGCTCCAGGACAGCCAGAGCTATATATTAGAGACCCTGTCTCAAAAAAAAAAAAAAAAAAAAAAAAAGGAAAAAGTTTGGCTTGAGGTTAGAGAGGGGCTCAGTAATTATGACTTCGTGTTCCTTTCTGAGAGCCCAGGTTTGGCTCCCAGCATCCACAGCAAGTGGTTCACAACTGCCTGTAGCCCCGGATCTAGAAGGCATGAGGCCCTCATCTGACCTCAGTGGGCACCTGCACAACGTCAGCAGGGGAGCCCGCAGCGGGACACACACAAATTAAAAATAAATCTTAGAACCAGTGTCTTTGCTAAGAATTTTAGAAATTATATATCCATCCATCTTTAAGTTATTTACCAAGATTTACCAAAAACATCATATTGCAATGCTGACCCTTGAAGGGTTAAACAATCTCTTCTACAATCCTATTAATCCTGAAAGTAGCCCGGTTCCTGCTCGATGACACTTCTCTGGGTATTCTGGAACATTGGTGCCATCTGCTGGGAAGTTAGCGCACAGGCCTCCAACTCTGGGACACAGGGGATGGATAGTGGACAGAGAACGGTCCCCACAGGCTCAAGTATTTGAGCACTTGGCCCTGGTCAGTGGCAGTTTGGTGAGGTTAGGAGCAGCTGTGGCCTTGCTGGAAAAGCAGATCACTGTGGGGGGAGAGGGCTTTGAGAATGAAAGGCTCCCCCACTCCCAGCTCAGGTTCTCTGCTGTGGGCTTTTAGCTGATATCTCAGCTTCCTGTTTCCATGCTTCCCGGCCATGACAGACAGTAAACTGTTCCTTCCCTAAGTCGCCTAGGTCATGCCATTTCATCATGGTAACTAATATGCATATGTCTCAGGGAAAGGGGCAAGAGTATGTACTAATATGCATGTATCTCAGGAGAAGGGGTGAGAGTATGTACTCATCTCAAAAATAACCATTCCAGAGTTCTGGGATTAAAGAAGGCGTGAGCCATCATGGGCCCTAAACTTTTCTTTAATTCCTTTTCACAAGGTGGAAACCTAGCTGGTGGGATCTTGCTCTGAGGTCACCACTCCCTTTAGCCTAACTTCTTCAGGTTTCTTAAGAACGGAAATTGCAAGAACTTTAAAATGATTATGTAGAAACAAAGACTGTTTAACTGATTTTAATAACATGACATAAAGCCCCTAAAGTTGATATAATCATTATGCAAAATACATACATGAATACTGTCTTCTTTTAAAAATATAAATAAATAAGCAAGACATGTGAAAATAGGCAAGTTTCCATTAATTAAATGAAAAATTTTTAAAAAGAAAGTTTTCCTTTCATTTCATTTGAAGAAGGGAAATTATCGTTTAAGACAATATTCAAGTTTATTAAACAAGGTAAAAAAAAAGTATTATAAAATGTTTAGCTTTCATCTGCCTCAAGGTTTATGTTGCTGCCAAATTTTGCGTATAACTGCACTTTCAGGTCGGCTAATACCCGCTGGATGGATGCCACTCTGGACTCTAAGGCGTCGATCTCGTCTTGCAAAGTTTTCTGGAAAAGAAAACAGTTTAAATTAACTGGCTTCAGCTAGATGACTTACGAGCACATGGTCTGGGATTACATTTGGCAGGAATTTTAGGTAAAGAACTCTAAACTGGTCAGAAGCAAACTGACAGTAATAATTAGATCAAAGTCTGCGTGTGCAAGCATTTACCTCAGACCAATAGGAGCTCATCGTGGTACCATGGCTGCAGTCTGAGTCTCTGCTGAGACTGAACCCGGGGCCTCCGGAAGAGCAGCCAGTGCTCACACCCACCCAGCATCTCTCCAGCCCCTTCTGGGTTTACTGGATGCAGACTCCATCCATGGGGAATTCTATCTTACAAATCTGAAGCAGAGGCTATCATTTTAAGTAGCATTCAAGCTAATAAGGCAACAATATCAGGGGCAACCGTCACCAGCTTCTCACGCACCGGGTGGCTGGAAGCCTTGTGGGGTTATTTCACACGCCCTCACACTGGGCAGTGCCAAAGCAGCCAGCTTAGACCCCAGAGTCATATTTCTCCTGCCTTATCTCCTCAAAACAAGCTTCCAGATGTGAGCAAACACTTGTGCATAAGATCGCTCACAGGATCATTACTAGAGCAACGTACCGGAAACAAGTTAGTGCTAGTGAAGGCTCAGTGAGCAAACCAAGGCCCATCAACAGTGTTGAGACAAGTCAAACGAGTCCCAAGACAGTGACATGTTAGAGGCCCGTGTGGTCCCCGATCAGTGTGCTGGATACAGCTGCATCCACAGAGAAAATGTTCCTTCACAATGCTAACTGTCCCATATGTGGAGCAGTTACACAGGGGGGGCTCAGGAGAAGGGGGGAGGTGGGGGCCAACGGAAAAGCGGGTTCACCACTGACGGTGGCACCAGATGGTGCGGCTCCCAAGGATTCCTTTCTACTTCACAATACGCTAGAGCATACTCAATGTTCTCAGCTGGAAACAAAGTTGGGAGGGGGGGACACAAGACCACAGCCATGTGCCACTTTGTAAGTCCAGGAACCTCTCTGAGCCTCTGCCCTCACTCTAAATTGTGCTGTGTGGATTAATAAAACCACACTGGCTAAGTAAGTGCTCAGAGCCTGGGACACTGTGCCAAACCCTTAAATGTTAGCTAGCACCATTATTTCCCTCCACCTGCTATTATACATTCTTTATGTTGACCCCCTCCCAATCTGAGAACTAGATTTCGCCTCCCAGGGCAGACTAGCACACACCTTTGCTTCTTCTAACATTTCTTGGGTTTCTTCTTGAGAGTGGCTAATGAAAACATCTCCGATCTGGTACGGGATCATGAAGCAGTCGTCATCTGCCAGCATGATGTCATCGCAAGCATCTTCTAAATTCTGGAGGTGTTTCTGTCAGGAAGAGAACAGCCATGAAAGCACGGCCACGATTTCCCGACAGAACCAAGAGTGACTCCTATGCAGGGACATGGGCAGTGCACAGCAGCTACTGTCAGACAGGGAGATGTGACCACGGGCTCGCTAGGAGCCAGCACGGCATCCTCTGGGTAGCTCCGGAAGTACCAAGATGCTCCTTTCTCTGTGGTGTGAGCAGGTGTCCATGGCCACTCACTTCTACTTAACAACTCCCCACGCTGGGAACCCTGTCATCCCATCAGAAGACACCCTGTCCCTCTCAGCCTTGCTTGCCCAAGAGGACAGACAGTAGGGATAGTTAAATCTGATGCGTGCACTTGAACTGGAGCACTGAGAGAATGACACGGAACCAAGCGCAGGCCTTGAGAGCAACAGGACAGGAGGCAGCAGCTTATGTCCCTGCGTCTGCGGAGTAAACACGGTGCGGTTTATCCCCAGGCAAATCCTCAGGCACGGCACGGACCTGCACTGGGGAAGTTCGCGCTAGACTCAGAAGCCTCACTCACTGTTGCCCCACCTCTCTCAAGGGCACAAAGGACCTCTTGAGCTGGACTTCCAGTCACCTATAGCCAGACAAGGAAGCTGAGGCAGGACGATGAGTTGGAGGATAGCCTTGGCTACATGGTAAATTGTAGGCCAGTTTTACAAGGCAGGACCCTACCTCAAAACAAACAAACACAGACTTTGTGTAAACTGACCAGACAGACAGTGTCACTAGTGAACGACAGCGTCACCAGCAGCCATGAGGTTGGAAGGGATACAGAAAAAGCAGACGAATGAGGTTTGAAGGGAAACAGTCAAGGCAGACAACGCTGCTTCAGTACCTTCTTCACTCCTATCTCCTCCTTTAGCTCTGTGATCCGACTCGTATTTCGAGCAAATTTGTTTATTTTCTGTTGATCTTCAAAAGTAACATTGACATCTTCTGCAGCCTGAAAAAGATAGTCAGTTTCCTGTAGAACGTCATTCGGGAAGTTACAGGTCAACATCTTGCACAGCGCTGTAATAACCGAGTACACCACCCCACTGCCCCCACTCCCGTCCTAAGACAGCAGAGGGCCACAAGGCTATGAGGCATCACAATGTGGCATGCTTACGAGTTGTTTGTGACTCTACCATCTTCCCCATTATTCTATAGGACCATTTGTAAACAGGTTTGAAATATAAAAAGTAATTAATAAAAGCCCTAATATTAGTAATAAAAAGAAAAGCCAACTTGCCCAAAAGGCAGAATTTCCCTAACTGGGACACTTTCACCAAGACATCCCAGGAAGCAAACACCGAGTGACTCCCACAGACTGTTTCTGAGGTACAAACACATATGTAGAGGCTGTGCCGACCAGGAACGTGTCCATTTCTCTAGCTTTCAATCTGACACACTGCTAGACAGTTACCATGCTTTTCAGTGGCCCTAACTCATACATCTAGACTTTGTATTTATTCTAACGTAGTGAATCCACTACAAGGTGATGAAAATTGGTTTCACATTTAACATCCAATGTGATAGATCTGCAAAGTTGAGTGTTTAGAAGATAAAGTATCTATAAAACAACAACAGCAGCTAACACTGTCTGCTAATCACCCATCTCAGAAGGGCATCACCAATATCACCATTTCATAGATGACCAGGGACATTGGAGTTTAGATAACTTGGGACAACCGCACAGCCAGTAAATGGACAGACCTCGATTTTAAAGCAAGCAAGCTCTCCCGGAGTCAGGTATACATATGTATGCACATCTGTGTGCAGGTACATGAGCTCCTATTCATCAGCTAGATGTGACAGTTCTTAAATTGCTTAGAATCTTAAACAGGTTTTAATATATTAGAAAAGGAAATTAAATACCAGCCTTTTCTTATGGAGTCTTTATTTATAAAAACAAGAACAAGTGTACTTGACAATAGCCTACAAAGAGTAAAGCTATGTGTCTGTAAAGAAAGGTCCTACTAGCTGGACATGGCCCATCTCACCACATGGACTGGAGCAGGGTTACGAGTTTGAAGCTAGCTTTGGATACATTGTCTCAAAAAGAGAGACGGCCATGGTCAGCAGCACTTGCCTGCATACATTGTCTCAAAAAGCTTGTCCGAATACACTGTCTCAGGTACACTGTCTCAAAAAGCTCGGGTGCTGGAGAGACGGCCATGGCCAGCAGCGCTTGCCGCTCTTCCAAAGGATCCGAGCTCTCTTCTCAGCAGCTGCACCACAGCTCACAACTGCCTGTAAGGCCAGCTCCCAGGGATCTGAGGCCCTCGTGCAACCACACGCACGCACACATACACAAACACAAATAAAATCCTTTGCAAGGAAAAGGCTCTCACTGAAGAGTTACACACACACACACTCACACACACTCATTCACAAGTATAGGTAATACCATATATTGGAATGCAGGATCAATAGCAGAAGCAAGTCACAACGCCCACATTCCACCCGTTACTGCTCTCTTGTGAGCTATGGCATAAGGTGTGTGTACACAGACGTCTCCAGAGGTTGGAATGCAAACTTCAGTCTCAAAAGACAGCACAGTGGTTGGACGGAGACGGGGGTCTGGACTTAGGCCTCCCCTTCATCAGGCTCCCATCCTAAGAGGTCACTCTGACTGCACTGCTCCTGTCTTCCGAGCCTGCTGGAAGAGCCCTTCCCACTATATGTACAGTGCGGTGTGGACCTTCTATCACCGTGAGGTGCACTAGATACTGAACAGACACCAGGGCTCAGAGACTGGTGTCCTGTTTGCTTTGCCTATGAGAACCATCAAGCTCCTAGACAGAACACTGAAGACTTCTAGTTTACCTTGGGAGTTTACAGTGTTCTGTTTCTATGGTGAGCCTCCAAACCGAAAGCATTTAGAGAAGACTGTGTCACCATGAGAACTTAGGAGGCCATTCTCGTGAAAGGCTCTAGTGTGTCAACCTGTGTGTCAAGACCCCTTGAGGTTGAGCAACCTTTTCACAGAGGTCACCTAGAGACTATCAGAAAACAGGTATTTACATGATGATTCCTAACAGTAGCAAAATTTCAATTATGGAGCAATGAAAATAATTTCCCGGTTGGGGTCACCACAACATAAGGAACTGTATTAAAGGGTCACCGCATTAGGAAGGTTGAGAACCACTGGTCTAGCAGGACCTGCTTGACAGGCAACCGTGGTGAAAGGTTTCTGAATTCAAATCTAAATTATGACAGCTCATACCCAGAAATACTTGGACGCCAGAGAGTGCTGGAAGTTGGCTACTTTCCATCTTTCCAAAGCAGCCATTTCCTGTTGTAGCACTGCCAAACAACAGCCACAAGCAGGCACGTGGCACCCTGGGGACCCAGTCCCTTGAAGTGGTTTTTCTCCCACTGTTGTCAGTGAGTTAAAGGCACTTCACTCTGAGCCAGGGAGTGTCCCCAGCCGCAGCTAAGAAACTGGCACCTGTGATCCCCAAAGGCAGATGCTCCTACGACACAGCTTGTTCCTTTTTAAGGTGCTAGGGGTTGAGCCAAGGGCCCTTCACAGCTGGGCAAGCATCTGCCACACGGCCACACTCCCATCCCACTCCTGCATTCGGGCAGGAAGACAGGAACAACGTTTAACTGGGGTGCAAGGGCATCAAGTTCATTTAGTCCCCCAAGTCATATGCAAAATAGGTAGGCGTTGCAGGAGTGTCCAACATTTTGACATTGTGGCATGATGTCATCTACGAATGTGTTGGGTCACATTCATAGCTATCCTGGGACCAAGAACTGTAAGGTGAACAGGCCCGGCAAACAGCATGTGCAGTCTCTGGAACGGTCTTGGCAGCATTCACCAGATTTTCCAAGAGACCTACAAGCCCAGAGGGCTAGCAACTCCTGTCTTAGTCAAGCCGGATACAGTGACTAGTGAGAGAGGTTATTATTTTCTCGTCCTGCAGGCAGCAGTGAAGGAAAGGTAGGACAGACTCCAAACCATGCATGCGGAACTTTAGGTAATTTGCTCAATTCCCCAGAGCCACCCCTGAGCTGTCATCTGTGAAATGAAGAAGGTATTTCTACCTTTGCGGGGATGGTAAAATGTGTACCAACCACAGGGCCTGGGTGTGCAATCAGCCTTCAACAAATGACAGCTAAGTACTTTGCCTGCTCTATATTGCTTCGGATGTTCAATACGGGGCTAGCTCAGCTGGCAGAGTGCTTGCCTGGCATCCGTGAAGTCCTGAAAAAAACCAGGAGTGGTGGGACAAACTTGCAGCCCAGCAGTCAGGGGTGGAGGCAGGAGGATGGAGTCCAAGCTCATCATCAGCTGCATAGTGAATTTAAGACCAGCCTGAGCTACATGACACTCTGTAAAAAAGAAATGAAGGGAGGAATGGCAAAAAGAATCACAGATTTAAGGGAATTCTGCAAGGTATAAGACACACGACTTGCTCTAAATTCAAGAGAAAAATTAAATGCCCTAAACCCTGACTACACCCTTTTCTTGGTAACATCTTATAGGACTGTGAGCGGAAGAAAACTGCACTCTATCCCGAGTTTAGGTACTGGTAGCTGGGTGCCCATAAAAAAATAAAGTTCTCACAAATTTCAGTTGGCAGTCAGATCTCTGTTCCAGACCAGCAAAAGCTACACAGTGAGTCTTTGTCGCAAAAAAAAACAAAAAACAAAAAAGCCAAGGACAAACCTCATGGTTTATCATGTAAGTAAACAGTACTGCTTACAACCTAGGGCCCAACCTAACAAAAGAGGCAAAACGAACCTGTTTCGTACTTGGCCAAGTCACCATGGCCATGGGACCTTACTTTGCTACTACATAACCATGTGGGTAACAGACCAGCAGGGGGAGCAGCTAGCTCATCCTGCTCCTGGAGCCTTCCCAGTCTGAATAAACGGGAAAGGGTGATCAGCGTCCTTCAGGGGACAGACGCACCCACTGAGTCCACTGGATATCAAGAGCACAAAGGGCATTCTAAAGGGACACGACACACACACACACACACACACACACACACACACACACACACACACACACACACACACTTAAAACAAAGAGCCTGGAGTGAGAGTGCTGTTTAAATCCCAGCTTTTCTTCTGGGCTTCAGTTTCCTCACGAGCTAAATAAGGATAAAAACAGAACCTCTCAAAAGGTTTAAATAGCAGATAAAAATAAATAACATGCAAACCCTAGAACTGCATCAAAGACGCTGTAAAACCCCAGTAGCTTTCAGCTGTTTTTTGGGGTTTTTTTCTTCCGCAATTTTCTTTTTTCCACTTAGATTGCACCTCGGACAACACTTTTGGGTTATAATGTCCCGATGGAAGTTTACCTTGACTTAAGGGCTCCAAGTGTGGCCAAAAGGGTTGGATATCCACGTAGACGAGTTGCCTATCATGAATGAGGCCCTGGATTCACCTGGAATCACCCCCCCCCCCGCCCCAACCAGCACACCAAAAGCCAGATGTGGTGGCAAACATCCTGCAAATCCAGCTCCTGGTGGAGGCAAAGGAGGACCAGAGACTCAAAAGTCACCCTTGACCGCGTCAGGAGCTGCGGGGGTCGTTTTTTGTTTTTCACAGTGTGATAAGACCATCGCACGGCGCCCCGTGCACAAATCATCCGCTGTGCTTTTCAAATCGAATAACGAAGGCGCTGAGACTTGGGAGCGGGCGAAATCAGCTGACCCGGCATCTGGCCGGCTGAGTCACCGGGGCACTGGCTAACTGTCAAGTGCGGGGAGCGGAGCGGAGCCGCGGACCCGCGTCCTTCCCGGGCCGCTGGGGCCAGCACCCCGCTGCCTCGGGCCGACGACGCCTGGCGTCAGCAAACTCGTTCCGGCCTGAAGGGTACAGGAGCGCCGGGCGTGGACGGCCGCGGGGCTCGGGCGGGCGGGCGGGGCGGAGGCTCCGGCCGCAGACGCGCGGGGACGCGGACCTCCCCGGCCCCGAGGAGAAGCGCGCGCCCGAGGAGCCAGCGCCGTCGCTCGCGGCCACCGGGACGGTACCGGGTCCCCAGCTCTGCGCTCCCCGTGGCCCCGGCGCCCCGGACACCTCATCTTCCCAGACCCCCGGCCACCAGCGCCCCGCGTCTCCTCGAATCCCCCGCCCCGCGCCTCCTCGGACCCCGGCCGCCGCGCCCACGCCGCCGCGGACCCCGGCCCGGCCATACTCACCGCCTTCTTCATGGTGGCCGCCATCTTGGACTGGACCACGGGGCGTAGGGGAGGACCAAGCTGGTGCGCACCACCCCCACCCCCGTCCCCACCCCCAGGCGAGGTCCCTCCCCGGACCCTGCCGACCCGAATCCCGCTAAAACACGGCGGTGTCTCCACGCTGCTTCCAAAGAGGTCTCCGACCGTGAATCCCAAGGACGAGGACTCAGGACGAAACTCTAACCTGGAAAGACTTGGTACCTTCCAATTAAAGGGACAGGCGGCTTCGCTCTCGGAGGGCATAAACTCCAAGGGCGGCCCATAGGCTGGCCCGAAGTTCCAGCCGGGGGCAGCAGGGGGAGCGCTGGGTACCACCCAGCGGGGCAGACCGGAGGCGTAAGAAATTCTTTTCCGGTTTAGTCAACAAAGTCGTGCGATCTAAAACAGGAGAAACGGAGGACGGGGCTCCGGCTTCTTCGGTAAAGCATTTATACTCAAGCATGAGGACCTGAATTCGGTCCCCAGCGCCCACATTAAAAACACAAACAAAACAAAACGGGGGGGGGAGAGAGGGAGGGAAGAGAAAGACTCAAAAGCTCAGATGGACTTTTTAAATGTATTTTTATTGACTTGTTGGACACATGGTCTCTCAATTGTAGTTCTGGCTTTCCTGGAACTACTTTTGCCATGTAGACAAAACTGGTCTTGAACTCACAGAGATCCTCCTGCTTCTGCCTCCCAAGTGCTGGAATCTAAGATGAGTTCCGCCATGTGCAGCCGACGTGAATTCTTTTAAGTATTTAAAATTAAATTGGTTCAGCAATGTGTCTGCCACTCGCTCAAATGTGCTAGTCTGAGAAGGTTGTCCATCCAGAGACCTGGTGGGCACGAGGCTTCCTCGGCAACCAGGACCGTGGTTAACTTCCTGGAGCCAAGACGTCGTGCTGGGGAGCACAGCCCTGAAGGACATGAGAACTTCGGTGCAGGGGTCATTATCTCATCTGCCAAGCAAGCGATGTGGGGCAGGGGTGGGCTTGAGCGGCAACGCAATGAAAACATGGCAGTGCGCTGGACACTGTGCGTCTTTGACAGTCCCTCCTATGGCTTCTTCAAGCCTCAATCCTCACACGAGGGAGGATCTCACCTGTCTGCGTACAGTGCAGGGCTTCTCAACCTTCCTGATGCTGTGACCCTTTAACGCAGTTCCTCGTACCATGGTGACCCCCCCCCCCCCACACACACACACGTCATCAAATTATTTCATTGCTACTTCATAACTGTAATTTCCTAGTGTTACGAATCATAATGTAAGCATCTGCTATGCAGGATAACTGATATGTGACCCCTGTGAAAGGGTCCTTCGCCCCCCCCCCCCCAGTGCTTGGCTCTTGGAGCAGCTCAGAAGGGAGAGCTAGGGTCTGGCTGCAGAGGTTAGTGGAGACTCTGTAGTTGGCCGTGTGTCGACTGGACCCAAAGGGTACCAGGTTGGATGCTGCGTCTCAGAATGGATAAAACACGCCGACCTCGTGCAGCTTACCATCTAGTGATAGGAGACAGAGCACAACCAAATACTTAAATTAGGACCGTGTGTCAGAAAGGGTGATTAGTGTAAATGCGACTGACTGTCCCAGCAAGGACGCACAAAAAGATAAGGAACATAGGCAGCTCTGC